TTTCAAGCATAATATAAATACTTAATGTCAATATTATACTTTAAAGTATAATATAAATACTTAATGTCAATATTATGCTTTAAAGTATAATATAAATACTTAAAAGAATAATATTGATATATTAAGTATTTATATTATACTTAAAAGTATTATCTTAACAAAGTGTAGATTTTAAAAATAATTAAAAGCGTATTTCATGCGCATAAAATGCACTTTGCCATCCGAAATGTAAATACTGTAAGTTAGAAAAAAATTATTTTACATTAAAATCCAAATAAAGTTTCGATTGAAATTATTTCGTATTATAATGGCTTCGAGCGCAAAGGGTTAACGTATACTCGCGTAAAGGAAAATTAAATACAAACGACAAAAATGATTCCGTTCAGCGTGCAATGAAATCGCGTTTTCAGATGATTTTAGACACCGCGATGTCTCGGGTTTGTGATATCACTCGCGACTTTTCTTGCGGCAGCAAGGTGTCTTCAGGTGCGTCTTCGGGTGTCGCGCGCCGCTGTTATCTCTCGAGAAGCGCGGGAACGGGCCGAAAAAGAAGAGAACCGAACCCATGAAAACGCGAACTCGTAACCGGGTTAAGCAGAAGCTATTTGTCGACGCTTCTTCCTGCGCGCTTTTTCCATCGCGCGTCGCCCATTAGCGGAAAATCACACGAGGCTTCTCGCTTCTGCTCGCCCTCGTCGTTTCTCTTTCCCATCTTTCCTAGCGCCGGAACACAATGGCGCGTGTATATGCCGGCGCGGAATGTGTTTACAAGGGGAAATAAAGCCGCCGGTACGTAGAAAATCAATGGGTCGTGAAACGAGGCTATTAAACGGTCGAGTCAAGAGCATCGTCGATCCAAGTTCGACCGCTTGTTGTCCCGTCTCGTCGCCTCGCCTCGTCTTGCGGCTCCGCTCTCGGCTCGGCTTCGCGTCGCGCGGGGATCAACCATCGCGAGATCGTATCGATTAGAAGCGTTTATAATCGGTTCGAAAAAACGAGCCTCCGAGTTGATTGTAAAAAAACAAACAAAAAAGCTAAAAGGAGAGCAAAGCGTCGCGCACCGACGGGACGAGAGCGGCGAGAGATCCCGTTTCAGGATTTCCGCGAGCCTCGTTCTCGAGGCTACGCTTCGCGATTTTACTGCGTGCGAGTAATTAATCGCGTCGATCAGAGTGTCGCGCGATTATACTTTTTATTGCGACGCAAATACCAAAGTTCTAGCGATTTGGAAATTAATTTCGATGCGTTGGATGGCAAGTCTACGATGCGCGGCTGCGAGATCGGGTGGAAAGATCGAAAATCTGCGATCGAAATTATTATTATTATCATTGTTATCATTAGTAGTAGTAGTAAAAGTATTAATGTTAAGTATTTATATTATATTTAAAAGTATAATACTAATATTAAGTGTTTATATTGCACTTAAAAGTATAATATCAATATTAAGTGCTTATATTATACTTAAAAGTATTACATTAATATTAAGTATAATATTAATATTAAGTGTTTATATTATACTTATATATATATATATATTAAGTATTTATATTATACTTAAAAGCATAATATTGATTTTAAGTATTTATATTATACTTGAAAGTATTGATATTGATATTAAGTATTTATATTATACTTGAAAGTATATTGATGTTGATATTAAGTATTTATATTACACTTGAAAGTATTGATATTGATATTAAGTATTTATATTATGCTTAAAAGTATAATATTAATATTAAGTGTTTATATTATACTTAAAAGTATAATATTGATATTAAGTATTTATATTATACTTGAAAGTATATTGATATTGATATTAAGTATTTATATTATGCTTAAAAGTATAATATTAATATTAAGTATTTATATTATACTTAAAAGTATAATATTGATATTAAGTATTTATATTATACTTGAAAGTATATTGATATTGATATTAAGTATTTATATTATGCTTAAAAGTATAATATTAATATTAAGTATTTATATTATACTTAAAAGTATTAATATTAAGTATTTATATTATACTGAAAAGTATTATTATTATTAAGTAACATTATTCGAAAAGTGTCGCAAAAATGTCTTCGATCGGAGAAGAAATCGCAAGATAAATGATACATTAAATGTTTCCCTAATTGACGCTCGGATTGTCCACAAAAATGGACAATTTGGGAAGAGTAGATACGATTATACGAGCCTTGATCTCATTTCTTTTTTATAATCGTTAACAATTCGTGACTCTAAAAACGATTCCGTCGAAGATCGTTACACTTTTCCCTATTTCGATCATTTTTCCTTCTCCCTTTTCCCTTTTCTTCTTGGAAAAACTTATGCGAACACGTCCAGGCAACTCCGTTAATTGTTCAGAAAGCATTCTGAAACAATTTTCCGTAAAGTTAATTCGAAAAATTCGGGAAATGACATTTCTTACAAAGATGTAAGAAATACAGTAATTTCTCCCGGAAATGCCAAATTTCGGGTTGCTCCGAATTTCCCCTTGCTAGTCCCGCGCCTATGCAATTTATCGCTCGCAGCAGGCGACGCTGTAACTTCTTCCTAAAAGAAACGCGACGTATACTATCGAATCGCGTAGTTCTTTCTCTTAACGATTCCTCTTCGAGCAGCTAATCGTCTTTGTTCGCGATCAATGCATGCACTTTTTACCGAGCGCAGCAGCATTGTCGCGACGCGGATGCAAATTAAATATAGCCTCGTTTGCAATCAGGATCTTTAAACATGCCTACTTGGTGTACAAAATCGATCCGTATAACTTTCTTCACACTTCGAATTTCGTATCGATGTCATTAACATCTTGTTTAACATTGATTCATGCAAAGAAGTTTCGACGTTTTCCAACCCGTTACACGAGCAGTTCCCCTTAAATTCGCGAGCAGTCTTTTCGCGCTGGAACATTACCGAAAGAATTCTGAAATGCTTTTTGGTGCTTTGCACCTTTTGCTTTCGCTGTTTCCAGTTTCGCTGCGAGATGCAGCAGGCTTCGTACCATTAAGCACGATAGATAGAGTGCTCGCGAAGGAATTGCGGAGAGCGTACGAAAAAATTCGAGGTCTTGCTAAACAGAAGTCGAGAGTAAAAAGAAGTTCGCGCTAATAGATTTAGGTTTTATTTTATATCTGAACGGAAAAGTCGGGGAAGTGTATTGAAATGTAAAAAGTATTGAAATGTATTGAATCTAAAATTTATAATAATATTATAAATGAATATTAAAAATGAATGAAAAAAATTACTCGTTGTAGAAATAAAATAAAAATTCCATCAAAGCTAATTATGTAATTCTCCTTACGTTTTAAAAATCACCGCATACCGAAGAACACATAAAAATCTTCGGTAAATTTATATAAAATTTATAATATTATTATATATTTTTATATTATATATAAATAATATTATTAATAATATAATATAATATAATATTATTTATAATATTATTACAAATTTTATACAAATTTTATATACATATTATTTTATTATAATATAAGCCGTTT